TAGGGCAATAGAATATACGGTCTGTACAGTAGAAAAACCATTACGCCTATGGAGAGTCCCCACAAGGATAGCTGACCAGACATGTGTGTGTGTGTGAGAGTGTGTGTGTGTGTGTGTGTGTGTAAGGCTGCTGAGCACAGCATATGTTTGTCACAGATAGTATCATTGTGTTCTGATCTGGCAGGTTGGCTGTTGTTTGTTGTAATGTCAGTAATCGTGTCTCATTACGCTGAGTTGTCTTCATGAACGACACGCGACTCTTTCTGTAAGTCACAGCAACCCGTCGTTGTCTGGTGGAGTTCATCCACATAATGAGTTTCTCTTGACTTTGCTTTGTCGAACACGAATGTGGACTAAAAATAACACGTTAAGCCCTCGGGACGACTGACTGCTGCCATGTTTGTGTTTCCCAGTGAATATCTGGATAAATAATCCTCCCGTCTCTGCTGAGCTGTAAATGAGTGCATTGATGCAGAAGCAAAACATCAAACCTCAATTAGACTCTAAATGCATGAAAGGAAAGCAGCACCTTTCTGCTCTAATGACCTTTTTGCACTTTAAAGCAATCGGATCAAATGCCGGAGTACGTCCTCAAAGGCACGCGCGGCTTCAAAGATGCGAGACACAGCGTTAGCATGTTCTGTGTGGAAACAGATCGCACCGGATGATTGATCAAAGCAACAATGTCATACTACTGTAATATTATTACTTTTGTAATGCGTTACTCCCAACACTGGTCCTGATTTACTCAAGCTTCTGCATGCTGTTGCATTTTAAAGACTGTCTGTTGTGTGCAAATAATCAGCATCTGCATTTGTGTTCCACAGAAAAATGAGACTTAGGTGAGTTAACGAGGACTGAATGTGATTGTAGTTTAATGACCGCACATGCAAAGATACCGAAATGTGGTGTTTTTTTTGTTCTTCACATGTGAGGGACTTCTGCGCTCTCGTTCTGGCTGTTTTCACTTTTTTTTGTTTCTCCTCTCGTCATCAGAAATGACTCTTTCTTCCATCACCTCATCAGTTTTACGTTGAACTGTTTTAACAGCCACTGGCTCTCTAGAATGGATCTAGAATGTGGAATAGATTTCTACGTAGAACAAGCAGTTTGGAGAATGGATGGATTATTTTATTTTATTATTATTTTTTTTTTTATGTTTTAACACACACGCACACACACACACACACTCACATGGGACGCAGGCGTTTGTTTGGCTTCTCAGAGCGTTTTTTCTCTCACATCATTACACTTTAAAAGCCTCATGTTTGTTCAAATATTTAGCCCGCAACAATCTCCAAGAATCTCGATCCAAGAATCTGAAGTTGTGAGCCCTTCCTGGAATGAAATCTGAATCGGGACAAATTCAGAGGTTTATTCTGCAGTTTCTCAGCAGCGCTTTGTGTAACGGCTTCATAAAAGCACAAAAAGCTGAAGCATTAGAGACGGCAAACTGAGCAGAGATCACAACACCGTCAGACGACTGAAACGAACAAACCCAAGCGAGAGAAACTCAAACGCTACAGCAGGCTCAGACTGTCTCATCATGTAATTATTTATTTTATTTTATTTTATTTTATTTTATTTTATTTTATTTTATTTTATTATTTTATTTTATTTTATTTTATTTTATTTTATTTTAAACCAGCCCGTCTGAACCCAGAACAATAACAGATCTCCTATTACAGACTTTGATTTATAAAAAGACGTTCATTTGTTTGCGGCTGATTGACATTTAAGCAGGAAAACGGAAACATACAGAGAACAAGACGAGGACATGATATTGTTTTGTTGCACGTAGCTCTAGTTACTCAGAAAAGGTCACTGGTAATTGAATTTTTGGTTTTTCAAATGAATTTATCTCTCAGCATATATTAGGCTGTGACCTACTGATGAAGAATATTCATCTGCGCTCGCCGAATGCCAGCCACAAAGAGCTCGAATTAAACAGCAGCTTATCGAATCCTAATTCATTCCCTGTCAGAAACACATTCAGATCATGATTTATAAAGTCTCAGACTGTTTTAAAACCTGTGTCATACAAAGAGTAAAGAGTTTTGTTTTTTTAAGGAAATTAATGTTTTTATTCATCAAGGACGCATTAAATTGATGAAAAGTGACAGTAAAGACATTTATAATGTTACAAAAGATTTCTATTTCAAATAAATGCTGTTCTTTTGAACTTTCTATTCATCACAGAATCCTGAAAAATAATGAAACTAAATATTAAACAAAACTTATATTAATTATATGTGTTTGGACCAGCATTATTATTGTTAACCATGTTTATAAATATGGCTAAAAATGAACAAAACTAATAAAAAATAAAAAGGTTAAACTGAAGACATAAAATGAAGAAATAACATGTATTCAAAATATATAGCTAAAACTGAAACTAACAACTAAAGCTTAATAGTAAAAAAAAAAAACTAATAAAAATGACAAAAATGACTATAATAACAAAGTGTAATAAAAAATATATAACTGAAACTAAAACTAAACACTAAAACACAAAATAAAAACTATACAAGCACTAATAAAAAATGACAAAAAAACAACAACAAAATTACAAAAATTGTAACTAAAATCAATTTGGAAACAGAAAATATAAAAATAAAATCTAATTCAAAATATATAACTGAAACTAAAACTAAACACTAAAACTTAGATATATAAAAAAACATATTTTAGACATTTAAAAAACTACAAAAATTAGTGACAGGAAATTAAACATAAATCACAGGGCAATAAAAAATAAATAAAGTTAAAATAAAACAAAATGCTTCTATATAAAGTCAAGGGAATGCTGGAGTCTATTCAATAAAAAAAAAATAATAATAAAATAAAAAAATATATAAAGTTTAAATAAATCCATCCAAAATTTTTTTAAATAAAGCAAACTAAAAAAGGACTTATCCTGTGTAGGGTCACGTGGATGCTGTATTCTATTCAAAAAAATAAAAAAGAATAAAATAAACAAATAAATAAATCCATCCACCACAGGGCAATAAGAAAAATAATAATACAAGTTAAAATAAATAAATAACAAAAATAATAACAACAACAATAATAATAATAATAATAATAATAATAATAATAATAATAATAATAATAATAATAATAATAATAATAATAATAATAATAATAATAATAATAATAATAATAATAATAATAATAATAATAATAATAATAATAATAATAATAATAATAATAATAATAACAATAATAATAATAAAAAATGAGAAAATAAAATAAAAATAAGATTAATTAAAAAATGATAAAAAAGTCTATTCAATAAAAATAAATAAATAAATAAACTATTAATAAATAAATAAACTATACATAAATAGATAAATAAACTATGTATAAATAAATAAATAAATAAATAATCAATCAATCAATCAATCAATAAATAAATAAGTAACCAGTGATACTAAAATAACACGGCAATGGACACATTTCCGTTACTCAACGTGTTTCTCTGCAGTGAAAGTGAAGTATCTTGGGGTTTTGGCTGGGATGAGGCCTGATGTAAGGTTATAGATCACTGATCAAAAGCATCAGTCGCTGGACTGTATGATAAGAACAGCTCTCAGTCAGACAGACAGAGACGTTTGGCCTCAGCAGAAACACACGCACCGTTTCCAGCCTGAATCCGGCTCTCCAGCACTTCATCACAGAGCTGGACGCTAACAGACCATCACTGGACAGTTATGAGCTCCGATCGGCCAATACAGCTCTTATCCGGCTCCGCAGACGCCCGAAAGCTCACACAGTCACGCACAAACCAGAGGATCATTAGAAACGCTGGAGCAGAAGCACACGCCTGCTGCATCTGAGAATGAACTCCACACACCAACTCATATTCACATAACTGTGGAAAACACAATAATGAGGGGAAAAACATGTTTTAGCTTACATTAGACTCTTAAAGGTTCTTAAATGTGTTTTGTTTTCTCCCCTGTGTTGTGAAAGTGGGCCCATCGTTCATCTATAAATAGCTGTCTTACCTCGTCTTAGTTAGTTTGGTTTTGTTCTGTTCAGTTCA